TACCTTGTTTGCAGCCCCAGGATCATGCCCCCTCTCGTCATTGCCTCCTTTGAATCACACTTCATATAAATATGAGTACCCCATATGTAGATTACGTAGGTAGTTACATTAAGTTGGGTTGGTTTACATAGGTAGTTACATTAAGTTGGGTTGGTTTACATAGGTACTATTGAACTTGATAATTTTTGCAATTTTGAAGTGTGGCCTTCACGAAACTTGGTTGTGTGTGTAAGGTTGCCATATCTGGCCTTGTGACATCTTCTAAGGCAGATTGCACCTTGTTCTATCACCACCACCACTGCTCACTGTTTCACCATGCCAACCACCAGAGCCACCACCAAATCTACTGCAGCTGCCACCTCTACAGCCAGGAAGAGGCAGGGATCTGCTGCTGATCAGACTCCTAAGAAGAGATTAAGATCCAACTCAAACAAGAAGGCATCCAAGGCTGATCTGGAGGTAGAGAGGGGAGAGGGAAGGAAGGAGGGGGGAGAGGAGGAGGGAGAGGAGGAGGAGGAGAGAGAGGAGGAGGAGGAGGGAGAGGAGGAGGAGGAGGGAGAGGAGGAGGGAGAGGAGGAGGGAGAGGAGGAGGGAGAGGAGGAGGGAGAGGAGGAGGGGGGGGAGGGGGAGGGGGAAGAGGGAGAGGGAGAAGCTCTTGCTGAGCTAGAGGATGAGGTGGTTGTCAATAAACCCAGACATGGAGGGAAGAGGGGGAAGGATGTTATTTTGAACAAGGGGTCCAACAAAGGGTATAAAATTATTTGAATTTACATTGACATATTCTCAATTAAATTTTTAGCAAAAAGGCACGCAAGACAAGTGCACAGAAAAATGCAGAGGTGGCAGCAGAAGAAGCCAAGCGAGTCAAACACCAGACTCAGTGAGTTTTTTCTTAGTTTCAGATATTAAAATCATGATATTGAAGTATTTAAAGCACCATGAAGCTTCTTTCCAAATGAGGCATTTCAGTTGCACCACCTGAACGGAAAGCCTCTACTTCCACTTCATTATCTGCTGCTCCTCTTGCTGTCCCTGCTGCTGACTCTGCTGACTCTGCTGTTTCTGTTCATGCTCCTGCTGTTTCTGTTCCTGTTTCTGCTCCTGTTCCTGTTCCTGCTGCGCCTGCTCCTGCTCCTCCTGTTTCTGTTATTTCTGCTGTTATTTCCACTATGAGTCCTGATACCACTGCTAACTTAAATATGCCCACTTCCACCTCTACTGCTATCATGACCCAGAGACCTTCAACTCCTGCTAATGAGCTTGATGTCACCATGGAAAGCCCTCCTCGTCCTGAGGGTTCTTCTAGAGCTACAGGTGGCATTTTGCGGAATCAGAGGTCTTTACCTTCCCCAGGTTATTCCATATGGAATCCATGGAATAAATGTTGGCTGAGACCCCAGCCAATTTCTTCTTCCATGGACAACATGGAATCCATGTGGAATGATGATGGAATGACCATGGAATGATTAATTCCATATGGAATTTCCATGGATTCCACTGGATTCCATGGAGCAGTCCATATGGATTCCATGGAGCAGTCCACATGGATTCCATGGATGACCATTAGAATACAGTATTTATAGTGTCCTTACTATATTTAAGTAAAAATGTAAATTTTACATCTACAGGAATTGAACTCTCGACCTCATCAAATATTAGCAATGCTCAAACCAACTGAGCCACACAGGCATTATTATATGGTAAAGTAAAGGTATGTATATACCGCCTTTTGTCACATGGCGTCTCAAACGTGACACGACACGTTGCCAATGCCACATCGTTTCTTCCTTCCACCATCACCATCACCATCCACCCCACCGTTTCAAGCCACGACGACCGCCCGCGACGTCAACGTCGACGACCACCACGACCACCACCATGCTGACGATGCACGACAACACGCAACATCGTCAACAATGACCCCGCCATTGCAAGAGCCACACGACGTGGCAACACCATGTCACACGGATGGGAGGCGACGACGACGACGTGGAACGTCAATGGACGTTCCGCCTCGACTGCAGCCCAGGTAAGTGGACTGGGTAACCCCTCCCAGTCCACCTTTTGACAACAACAAACCAGGTGCCACGTCGCGGTCAGCAACGTTGCAATTAAATGACGAACGGACACGACAACCGATGAGCCCACACACCCACAAATGATGCACACCACCCCACATGACCCCCACTGCCCACGAGCGCCCACGAAAGAAACGAGCACCCAGACACGACACCGAACGCCCATGACACGACAACCAAACGACGAACGCCCACGAGACGACCACACATGAACGAAAACGAATGCCCAGCAGATGACCACATGACCCCACCACCCATGAATGCCCGCCCACAACAATGACTGCCCACGAGCGCCCACAACATGACAACAAACCCCCACCCACGACAACAAACACCCACGAGCGCAACGCAAACGCCAACACAAAGACGAACGAAACGGCAACCCACCCCCATGGACGCCAATACAGCCCACCACCCATGACCGACGACGACACACACGCGCCCACGACAAAGACGCGTGCCCACGCACGGAGGATTCTGCTCACGTCAACAGAAATGGGCAACGACGAGCCCAGGTGAGCTCCCCCTCCCTCCATCATTCCTCACCACCACCCTTCCATCATCCCCCCTCCCTCTCTCTGTTGCTCCCCCTCCCATTTCTCCCCCTCCCTCCATTACTCCCCCTCCCATTGCTCCCCCCTCCATCCATTCCCACCTCACCCTTCACCACTCCCTCCCTTCACCACTCCCTCCCTTCACCACTCCCTCTCTCCTCCATCACTCCTTCCCCCTCCCTCCCACCTCACTCTCTACTACATTATCCCCCCTCCATCACTTCTCCCTTTCTTCCCCCCTCCCTTAAATATTGAGAATAGTAAAAATACATTGTGTAGTCTATTTAATACATTTCAATTTTTCCTGCTCAACTTAGAATTATTTCATACAGTCATTCCATGTGGATTCCATGTGGATTCCATATGGACTCCATATAGATTCCACCCTTAAAATTGTATAGAACATATAGAATAGAGTATGGATTCCATCTGAAAAAAGTATGGAATCCATGTGAAAAAGTATGGAATCCATCCCCCATTCCATGGAATCCATCCCCCAAAGTCATGGAATCCATCCCCCCATTCCATGGAATCCATCTGGAATTTCTGCAGTCCACCCCCCATTCCATGGATTCCACATGGAATAACCTGGGGAGGGTAAAGTATAAAGTATTGCGGAATTGGGCCATGGGTCAATATTACAACCCTGTTGACGATGAAGAACTACATATTTCTTCTAATGTAGAAAAGGTCAAGGGCATTGTGAAAATCTATGTATCACCTTTGGACCCTGTTGAACTTGACTTCACTAAGATGCAACCTAGCCTAAAGGTTCCTGTCACTGTTAACTTAAACTTGGGGCCAGTTCTGAAGGAAGTAGCTGTTCGTTGGCCACCCATCACTCGTAAGCTATTTATAAAATATAATGTTCTAAATTTGATGATATAACTTTCTTTAGGAAATCATATTCTTGTTTATGATGCTTTAGATGGGCTTTGGGTTGCTGAAGGGATCTATGATAGTGCAGTCGAGATAAATGACAGTATTTTATTCGACAATTCTGATGGGAAAGCAACTCTTCACATTCTTGTTGTAAGTGTTATCTACTATTCTGATATATTATAGAATATTAATTTCTTTTTTTTTAGAGTTCTTTTGAGTCTGGGATTTCTTTGTCCTCTATTGCTCCTTCTCGTGCTCATTCACTCCAAGGTGGATCTATTCCATCTATGTCTCATTCTTCCACACCCATTCGTTCCCACTCTCGCACACATTCCATATCTACTTCAGAGGACATCCAATCTGGCAGCATTGAACCATCAACTGCAGATGCTGAGGACTCAGTTGGTCAAACTTCTTTCACTGCATATGAAATGAGTCTTCTCCATATTCTCAAGGTTCCAATGAACCTTACACGTACAACAGCTGCTAAGTGCAATTTTCTTGCTGTCTTGCAGTCACCAAAGCTCTTAATAACATGCGCCAAGTCAAGCAGTGGCCTGAAAAAACACCTACTGAGAAGGAGGTTACTGAGCTGTTTATTGGAAAAGCCAGTGGAGCAATGTTTGGTGTCCAACCTTCAGTAGAGTTTTACAGCACTTTCCAGAAATGGTGAAGTGGCTACAATGTGATGCTGACAGCAAGGATGCAGAGGAGCTTTGGGGAATAGATGCGAAGTACACTCTAAAGATGTTGAAAGAATGGATGGATCAGGGAGGAAAGCCTTTGAAAGGAAAGGCTAGGGTTGTTGAAGAAGCTGTTGCTGAAAGCTCATCGAAGGGACTTGGAAAGGAGAAGGATAAGGATAAGAAGAAGAAGAAGAAGAAGAAGAAGTCAGAGAAATCAGATGAGTAAGTTGGGATAAGATTGTTACATATGTGATTTTTTGGACTTAGATATCTAATCTTTGATTGTGAAAATTTTCAGATACTTAGTGAAGCCTCATGTTATGATTGTCTCAACTTTGGTCTGGCTGCTGTTATGTCTTGCACTCCAACTTTTCATATCAGTCACTGGACCAACAGCAGCAGGATTCATAAATGTCATTTTTCTTGCTGGATTTTCTTTGAAATGTTATACATTGGCTACATCACCAATAAGTTGGCTGCTTGTATGGCTTGCATTTGTTCCTTGTGTGTTGGCCACAGGGTCAACAACCACACCCTTTCCTAATATCCCATTTCAGGCTTTTAGTCAATTTATTTTGACTACATTTAACTCTGAAATCTCACTTGGAACTGTTCTGCTTGTCTTTTTTTCACTACTGGAGAATCCAGACTTGCTGAATTTACATGCACGTCAGAAACATCCAAAGCTACCAAATGAGAAGAAAATCATTGCATCAAGTTGGATGAAATCACTATGTCGTGCATTAAATGAACAACTTGATTCAGATGTCTCAATGCTCTTTCAACCAAATGAATTTATACCAAATTCATGGGAAACCCCATTAGCTCTTAAACTTGATGCATTTTCAGAGCTTCTTGGACTTACACCTTATAAACAAGGTGTTTTCAACAAAAAGTTACAGAAAGTTTCCCTAAGGGCAATTGAGCCTATACAACTGATTTGTCCTATTGATATGGAGTGTATAACTGCCTCTTGTAAATTTCGACACATTGGAGTATATACTCATCAACGTGATATACCTTTGGTGACCTTGATTAAAGGGTCATCAATTCTCAAGAATGTTGCTGCATTGACTGGAGAATGTACAACATGTCACTCAATGACCATCAAATACATCATAAAAGAGGCAGTCAGACAGAAAATTTTCAGAACTCAGCTAAATACCTCCAAATTGGAAGCAATATTTGGGTTGACACAATCTTTTCAAATGCACTATTGAATGGCATGTACTCATTTCATGCATCTGCAAGCACCTATACACAGTATTGGAACAATAGCTTTGGAGTTATTGACCCTCACAACACATTCAAAATCAGCCGAAAGCAAGTTTGGCAAGCTTTTGTGCAGCATTCTATTAGAGATATGGCTTCAATTTCAAATACGACATTTGAAACCCAACCTAACATTGCTATTGATGATCTTACTCAACATGCATTTGCTGTTCTTGGTAAAAATGGTGAAATACCAGGTGCAAGAGAACATACCTGTTCTGAATGTACTAAGCCATTCAAACGAACAGTGCAGGATACAGAGTGGATTCCAGGTACACTTGATGTTAATATGTTAACTTTGGATGGTGTTGTTATGGGTCCACAGGTTTGTTTATTTAACTTGGTTTGGTTTTGATTTGATATTGATTCTCTGCTTAGATTTGTGCTTTTGATGATTGCACCAATGACCTTCTCAATGCTCATGGTGGTGCACTCTGTGCAACACATGAAGCTTTACTTGCAAATAAATGTCGTGTGGTTGGCTGTTCTAAAGACAAGATTCAAGGAACACAAGCTTGTGCTGAACATGTTGCTGACTGGAAGAAAAGTATCCATGATCGCAGTAAAGCCACCATCAATGGTATTCGGCGTGTTCTTCAATAGTGTTTGGAAGTCCGGTCTCGTGACTGGAAAAAGACCGTAACCAGACCGGACCAAGACCGCAAAAGACCGGACCTGCGGTTACAGTCTTTTATTTTTGAAATGTAAAGACCGCAAAAAAACCGGTTAACGTGAACCGGTCTTGACCGGTTTGGACCGGTCTTTTATAGCCCCTTAAATACCCTTTAAAACGCACCCAAGAACGTACGATTTGGTAAAAAAACGAGAGAGATATGAATTAAAATGTAAATTACTTTTGGGAATAATAGATGTACCAGACTTATTTTATAGAAGCACCAATTCCTAACGGAATTTAACGTTCTTGGGCTCGTTTTGAAGCTATTAGAGATGTTAATAAATTTACCGATTCATAATTTTAAAATATTGGCCTAAAGACCGGTCATAAACCGGTTAAAACTGATGCAGACCGAAACCGGTCTATAGACCGCAAAAAACCGCGGTCTGCGGTCTTTTTGCGGTCCGGTCTGGTCTTTTGACTTCTGGGGAAAAGGCAGACCGGTTACGGTTACGGTTAACGCCCCTGGGCATCAAAAAACCGGACCGAACCGGACTTTCAAACACTATTCTTCAATGTCCTGGTGAATGACAAGAGTGGCAAAACATCCCTGATGCTGCTATTCAGTGGCCACATGATGATGAGGTTGAGATTGAAAATCCTCAACCCACAATAAAATGAAAGACCTATTTCTCACCCAATCGGTCATATTGTGTTGAAACAGCATGTTCACCATGTGGAGTTGTTATTGCATGGACCAAATTTCCAAAATCTGAATCTCCAACTAACATTCTTAATTGGCTTGATGAATTGTTTCCTAACAAGGAAGATCGGCCTTCTTATATATGCATTGACAAAGCATGTCAAGTTTTCAAAACAGCTGTTGGAAGTGAGAGATGGAAAGACTGGACAGACAGAACTCGTTTTATTGTTGACACATATCATTACAACAATCACCGTGCCACAGATGAAATTTGCCGAAAATGGTGTAATCCTGCACCAAATCTTGTGGGAGAAACAATTGATGAGGATGGCAATCTTATTCAATGGAGAGAATTTAACACTCAAGTCTGTTAACAGCTTAATGCATGGCTTGCTGGTTATGAATCTATTTTGAAGCGAATGACATCTCAAAATTTCAATTGGTTTATACATACTATGCTTGTTTACCATGTCAAGCATGTGCTTGCCAAGATGACATCTATGGAAGATGATGAATCAGCAGATGAAGAAAGCAGTGATGAAGAAAGCAATCAGGAGGAAGAAATGGATTCAAAAAGTGAAAGTGGTTCAGGTTCACACAATGATGATGATAAGGAAAGTAGTTCTACAAATAGTACTGATTATGATATGCATCTTTCAGATTGAGTATCTCCTCAATAGGACTAGTTTGTGATAAATCAGTGTAAATGTATTTAGCAATGCTAGCAACATAGCATATAGTTTGGTGGAGTCCAGTTTTGTGTTAGTAGAGGCAGAGGTGGAGGGGATTGTATTATAAGGCTGCCTAAAGTGTTGAAAGTAGCTGGCAGTCCAGTGGAGTCCAGGTTTGTGTTAAAGAGTAGCTAGTAGTCCAGTGGAGTCCAGGTTTGTGTTAAAGAGTAGCTGGCAGTCCAGTGGAGTCCAGTGGAGTCCAGGTTTGTGTTAAAGAGTAGCTAGTAGTCCAGTGGAGTCCAGGTTTGGGTTAACAGTAGCTGGCAGTCCAGTGGAGTCCAGTTTTGTACTAGTATGTAGTGAAGTCTCAATATATAGTGAAGTCCAGTAGAATCCAGTGGAGTCCATGTGGATTATGTGGGGGATGGTAAAGTACTGATGACAAGCACCACCCACGACATGATGATGTGTCAACGACATGCGATGCCAACAACACACAACAACAACAACAACAACAACAACAACACGCGACACTGACAACACATGACAACAACGACACATGAGGACTACAACA